ACTTACAATGCTATGTTTTTTTTTCAAGGTATTGATGTTTGTTTACTTGTCTCTTGTCTCCTATCTTGTTTTAAGCTCCAACAATAATAAATTCTTTCGATATGTTTTCTTTCTTTCTCTCTCACTCTCTCTCTCTCTATTTTTCTGATTTGTTTTACTCTTTATTCTTGACAACTGTATAAATTCCTTTAAAATAAAAAAAATAATGAGTCATTATTATTTGATTCAATAATTTTCGCTTGTTCTCTTCCAGAGACAAAAAATCATATAGTAAGATGAGCAAACAATTGTGCGTGCAACATTACTTACATGGTAATCTCTTTTTTATATCAACTACTATATAAATAACATAATCATTTCTTGTTCTATTATTGACATGATAGATTATTGATTAGTATATATGTGAATAGACTAAATAAATTTGTTGATTTTAATGAATGTCATTTGCTAGCAATGACAAATATGTGATATATTTCTCCGGTCAAAACAACATTTTATTATTTATGTTTGATCTCTTTAAGGTATTTTCTCCTTGTTGATATATAAAAGGAGAAAATATACTGCAAGAATATCGTTTGTTATCAGATTTTAAAGTATGAACATTTGTGAAAGAAGTATCAAGATAAGCAAACAATATCATTGAATTCATGGACAAATGAATATCAATACTTTTGACTAAACGTGATAATTTAGTTGAATATTATCTACCCATTGAATATGAAACTAAAATTACAGACATTGATATTTGTGTGCATAAAGAACAAACATTAAATGTTTGATCATTAGAAATTAAAATGATTTTGTTAAAACATGTCGTTGGTATAGCAATTAGATTAAATTATTATTGCCACTAGAAATATTAAAATTGATAAAAAAAGAGATGTTGTGTTAGATCATCAGATGCATTACTAAATCAATAAATTTTGTACATAGATAGTTTCAGTACTATATTTTGTTTTCAATGTGTTTGTAAGAAATCTTATTGGTTATTTTTAACATTGTTTTAAGTACATTGATAAGAATGAATGCATTACAAAGTTTTATTATTATTGTTAAAATATTTGAAAAAAAAACTATTTAATAGCTATGTCTGCAAACTAGAATAAATAAATAATTACATCGGTATGTGAGTGTTTATAAGAAGAATTCATAATCATTCTTTGATACATATTTGAAATATTTCGCGAAAGAAAAATTACTTGATAATACCATTGATTTCATCTCTTTTTGTAATGTTTGATATACCATGAAAAGACTCAATTTTAGATACTTAAGAAATTCTTCTCCTATTTACGGAAGTTGTCTGACTATATTTAGATTTACATTGTTAACAGATGGAAATTAACTTCTAATGAAGAAATAAATATGTATGTCATGCAGATGTTACAGAGTTCGTTTTATCATATAGAAAATTAGAGCTATCTTAAGAATATATAAACTATTTAATTGTTCCAAATTATCCATAAATAGAAAAACTAACAATAGGGATAAATACATTTGTATGGCTTGGAAGATCTATAAAAAAATTAAACTGAATAATAAAATCTTATTGGCTGAGTATTTCATTCCCTAATACAAAAGATAAGATTATTTCATTGTAGGTCAAAAAAACATATTTGTTTATAAAGTTTTTATTCTCTTTATATAGTAAGAAAAATTTCATTTGATCATTTTTTTAAAATAATTTCAGTCATTTTATTTACTTATACATCCGACTGTTGCCAACGATCAAATCGATGAAAGAAAAAGAAAAATTTCGTTCTTTTTCGATGCTACTCACACGTTTCTCCATCGTCACCATACTATTCATTATTGGTATTCATGGTATCATTCTTCTTAAATTAGGACGAATAAATTTTGTACAAAAATCAACTATAAATAAAACTACTCCTTATTCATATTATTTATGTACACAAATATTTAATGAATCGGATTTATATTTAACTGAATGGATTGAATTTCAATTAAATGTAATTGGTTTTAAAAATATTTGTTTGATTAATGTTGGAGAAAATTTAAATAAAACATTATTATCACGTTATTCAATAAATATTATTAATAAAAAAGAACGACAACAAGAATTTCATTATTGTTTAGCATGTTTAAATCAATCAATGAAATCAAATGATCTTCTATTTATTCAAGATGTCGATGAATTTTTAAATGTAAGACAAGCAGATATTATTTATAAAAACTATGATAAATATGATAAATTTCATTTTCAAGAAATTCGTTATGGTATAAAAATAATTCAATAATAAAAGAATTTTCAGTTTCGTTTATTTTAGGATATATTTATGATACTAATCAAGAAATGATAAATCGATCTTTATTAGAGACAAATATTTATCGAAAACCACATGAAGCTCTTGGTGAATTTTCAAGTGACGATCTTAGAAAATTATTTAATTGTAAAATACGAGATAAATGGTATTCATGTCATGAAGGACATGGAAAGGTATATATTATAAGAGAAAAATCATTTAAAAATATCTTCCTATGAGAGAATAGATAATTTTACTTGGAAAAAAAGACTAATATTGATTAGAAGATTATACATGTCCCATCTTTTGAAAATATCTTATTAGCAAAAGAAAGATTAAGTTCATATTTACATCTTGAAAAGAGTTCGAGTTCTTGACTTACGCCCAAGAAGATATATCGAACATAATATGAACTTTTTTCTAACTCTGACTTGTAGTTTATGTAACGTAACTAAAGATTAAGTCAATATAATTTATTGAAATTATAGGAAATGATAAAAGTTGGTAAAATTAAACAATTAGGTACACATTTTCATCAATCAACTCCAAAAGTTAATGGCACAGGAGATACACTTTTTGTTCAAATGAGACACATTCGTCTTAATCATTATGTTATGCGAACACGTGAAGATGGAATACAACAAGCTATAAAATGGAATAAAGGCGAATCAAAACTGGGTCTAATATATTCGAATAATTATTTTAAATTAATTTTTGATGATACAATTAAAGATTCAAAAAGATTACTTTAAGATTTTATTTTTAATCAAGCTGAATTATAATAGATATATTAGTTTATTTTTATTGATAATTTTTTTCGAAAATAAAATGTATAGTATCTAAAACTAAACACAGATATTTTCAATTAAGTTTTATTTAGTAAGAATTTAATATATCTGACGCCTCTAGATAAACGAACATTAACTTTTCAAGACAAGCGGTTATACATACTAATAAATATGTCATATTGTACTTGTATACATCATTCACATTAAAACAGTGTCATACTATTTTTCAGAGTATCCGTTCATACGATATCCACTGTATTCTTAATCATACATTCAAAATATGTAGTTGTGCATATTCGTCAAATGAAAAATGTACAGAAATTATTTGTAAAATTGAAGGATTTTTTATGCTAGGTGAAGAAATTGTTAAAAGTACATACTGGCGAGAAAAAAAATCAGTCAATATAAATGATAATTTCAGTCAGTGTACAGTGATAGTGTCAGAAGCAAAAAACGTTAATGAAGCATATCATATTGGTATCTCTCGAGGTCACTGGGTTTCTCTGTATGTATTTTAAATAATTTCTTGTTGTGTTTATAAATATTACAGCATATTAATATATATTATTAAGTCATCATTATTTGTACTTCATTGTATAATGAAAGTAAATAACGACGAGCAATCTGATCGAATATTTAGATAGATTATACTTCTTCCATTATTAATATAAAGAAATACTATAGTTTTATTTTAACTTCGTTTATTTCATTATATATTAGTTGTGATATTTAATATTCCGTTGTTATTTAATCATGTGAAACAATAAATCAATCTTATCGATTAACTAAATTTATTTTCCGTTCCAAATCACTCATATAAATATCTACTTTTTTAAATAACATCCAATCATCTTGAACAAAATCTAATTCACATACAACAAATTTGTTTTTTGTATATAATTACTTTCAATACTATTTTCATATCTAGACTACACGAGAATATATAATGATGATATATTATGTAATATATCATTTGAAATTTAGCCTTGTTTGATAATGTATACATCGAAATTATAGAGACGTATATGTAATGAGTCGAGAAAAAAAAATATGTTATTTGGGATATTTCATTCGATAGATACACTACATCAATATTATATTCGTCAGTGCGTATAACAAAAAATCGTTTAAAAAACATGATGTATATATTTTAAAAGGACAAAGTTATTGTGATAATGAATGATTAGTACAATATGACAAATGGATTACTCAATACTTTATTGTGTAGACATTCTATATTCTTAACATATCAAGAATCATATACAAGTGCAATAAGACCTTTTTATGCACTCTTATTTCTTTTGTAGCATATTTTGCCGCCTATGATTACCATTCATGCGTATCAAAAAAGAAAGAAAGAAAATGAAAAAAAGAAAACTACTTAACATACCGGTAGCTTGTAGTAGCCATGTGCATTGAGAAAATATTATGATGTTAGAAAATCAAAATCGAAATGAATATCAAAACAACTTGATTATTTATTATATAAATTATCTAGGGACAATAATTATCGAACTATATTATTATATAACCGGACAAACAATTTCAACCTTGAACTCACATCAAACTGAAGAAGAAATACGTCAACGACGACGTGATGTTAAACAAATATACATTGCAATTATTACCTTTGTGATTATTATTATATTTTTTGTTATAATATTTATATTTTTATTATTTATCTCGGATGATTCAATTATATCGAAAATTAATACTTTTTATACAGGTCGAAAAGGAGAAATCGATAGAAATTCTCCATTTTATCATCATCGTCGTATTTATATTGATATTGGTTGTTTTAATGGTGAAACAATTGAATATTTTATTCATTTTACTATGAATAGTGCATTCTATGAAATTTATACATTTGAACCTGATCCAGATAATTATCGTTTATGTAAACAACGTTTATCACAAAGAAAATATAAAAATTTAAATATAAAAATTATACAAAAAGTTGCTTGGATACGTGATGAAAGAGTTTATTATCGAACTGAACGTGGACGACAAAGTCGAATTAGTTTAAATGTTACTGGTAAATAATTTTGTTTATAAAAACAAACAAATCAATCTACTGTCACTTTTTTATTCTTAGAGGATGATGGTGAATCAATTGAATTAGATGCAATTGATTTTTCATCTTGGCTTGCACGTTTAGTTAAACCAAATGAAGCTCTTATGCATATTAAAATGAGTATGCCTGGAGCAGAAGTACCAGTTTTAGAAAAAATGATTCGTGATAATACATTAGGTTTAGCAAATAAATATGAAGTTGAATGGATAGATAGAAATAATCCACGTATTCGTCCTATACGAATTTATATACAATTAATGTTTGATAGTTATGGTTTTGAATGTCTTTATTATACACGTGTACAAGATGCGAAAAAAGTTTATCAGATGAATGGTGCATTTGATAATGTAACAAAATATTATGATTGGAGAAAACTTAGTGAATCTGATACATTAGCTCATTATGTTGAACGACCTGATATGTTGATAATAGAAAATATGATTTAGATAAATAAATAAAATTTGAGAATAAGATTGTTGTTTTTTTTTTTGCATTTTTTAATATCAATTAATAATTTTATTCTTAATTGAAAGTGAGATGTTTACTTTACCTTGATGATGATTGATAAAAATCTCTAACGAGAAAAAAAGGGCAATTGTATATAACATATTTTTGTGTACGATAATGATACATAGGCAAGTATTTTTTACAAAAATTGGGCGGAATGCTCTTCGCCGTTTATTTAAACTTGTTTCTTAGAAATACCCAAGTTCATGCACACAGCTGTTGTAAACCCTACGAACAATTATACATAGAATGCTTAGCGACTATAATCATTGTTTTAGATGAATTCTAACATAATTAAAAAGCAGTGGCGGATCTAGGATTTTGGAAGAGGAGGGGGCGATTTTGTCTAAAAGCTATTTTTTGAGCCCAATCGAAGTAGTGTGAACCTATTTTTTCGTTCATTTTTACTGTAAAAAATCTAAAAAAAGTTCGGAAGAGGGAGGCAATCACCCCCATCGCCCCCCTTAATCCGCTACTGTTAAAAAGAACATGAATTAACGTTTTTTTTTATTATAATTAATAACATCTTCTTTCGATGTATTATAAAGAAATCACAAGTAATACTTTTGAGTGAGATTCATTTTAAATAATTACTCAAAACATTGTTCGAATTCAATGATTTATACACACAAAGTCTATATACAATGAAGTAAATTTAAAACACAGATATGCATTTTTTGATTTTAGACGGATAATGTTGTTGTCACAGTTTTTGAAGCGAATGTATAGAAAAGTTTAGAAAAAAATTTTAAACCATGCGCACCACCAGGAATATATGAGATTATATACCTAAATAAAGGATTAATCAAAATAACTAATTAAATGTAATATATTACCAAATTAGAGCACCAAGTTGTAATAGAACAAACATGATAGTTAAGAAATAACTTCGAACCTAGAAAAGACGAATATTAGATTAGAAAAATCATAGAGAATATTTACCCAAACAGAATAATAAATTGTTCCAATTAAAGTTACTAAATAACTGACAGAAAATGGTAAACGATCGATATTTAGTAAATGTTTCAAATGATTCATTGGACCCCAAAGCATCGAAAAGCTAAAACAAGAAAAATAAAATACGACATCGAAGTACATAATGAAAGTTTGAAACCTTGATAGAAAAAATAAACTACCAAATGAGAAAAGTAGTGCAAATTTTCTTGCTTTGAATACAATTACTGGAATGTAAAGTGTTGCTAATGCCATAAATAATAGACCCATTACAAGACACATCATAAATCCAAGAATACGTTGTTTACGAGTCTAAATTAACAAATTAAGTTAACGAGCAAATATAAAAAGAACGATGTACAAGATAAATCTGACTTGATTAATATAACATCGCCACCAGGTTTGTCTGAGAAATACATTGAATAATCAGACTTAGATAGAAAAAGCTTTATTGAAAATATGATTAAGATTTAGAGCGAGAAAAATTTACAGAATCGTGTTTAACCCTCTGATGAGCAGCATATCTTATAAGATATAAATATTTGAATAACTCGAGCATCAATCAATATTCAGACGCAGTTTTTTTAATGCAATAGATCAGATTTTGCTACATACATTTCTATTTCTAATAAGATCGCTTCAATAATAGATTCATTCAACTTTTAGAGCCAAGGGTGGCGCGAGTCAGCCAACATTACGGGGGTGTAACGAAGTTTTCTGAATTTTTAGTGGGGTTCAGCATTATCTTTGATAAAAAACCTAAAAAGATTTTCTTGAGCAAGAATAGAAATTTTCGAAGATTGGAGGGGTGTCACACTCCCCCCCCCCCTGTTTAGAGCATTACTTCTAGAGCCCGCCGGATCCACGTTTTTTTAGACCCGATTTCGATGAGCAGTAGTCTGAACTCGAACTGTACTTTCAGAGCTCACACTAAATTTTTCTACTTGAAATCTGATACTTGCTCCGAAAATACAATTTTATTTTTCTTATTCTCATGTTCAACAAGTAGTATACAATAAGTTAAAGAGTTTTTGAATGAAACGAATAAAAATTTAAAGAAATTCAAAAAAATATTATGTTGATAATATATTTCTTTCTATCCGGACCCGGTCAAAACAAAATTTTCAGACCCGGACCCGGTGGGCTCTAATTACTTCTATTCTAAAAACGAAATACCGATAATATTGTTTTATAATCTTCGAAAGATTTCTAGACATATTTCACAATACTCAGTATTCATATCAGATAATAAAACTTCGTCATACCAATGATGGTAAAATTGGATCATGATCTCCTTTTTGTAATAATTCTTGTATATCATCTGTACTTGATGGTGTTCCATCATTCAATATACTGGAATGTTTATTAAAAAATTTTTGTAAACGACCTATATTTGTTTGAAATATACTACGTGGCCATGTTCGTTCATTTTCATCTTTATCATCTGTTGTAGATGATTGATTACTTTTCGACTGATTTACATAATTTTGTATCCGAGAATATTTACTATCCATCTATAAATATGAAATTTTCAATGTCTTTTTTTCTCTCTATATGTATCTCTCACTTCATAGAATGTTGCTTGCGGTATACGAAAATTGAGAAACATTAGACACTTCTTTTCCTATAATATCATCTAAAATAATTGATTTGTTTTTCTATGAGTTTGTTTTTAATCATAAAAATTTTATTGAAAATAATGGGTATGAGAAAAAAAACAAACGAAACAATTAAAAGAAGATAAATACATACAATATTAATCATATAAATAAAAAACAAGTGCATTCCATATAGACGAAGAAGACAAATAGAATAGAATTTTATATAAAATAATATATATATATATATATGTCTCGAAAGGTTTTTTTAATTTAATAACTCGATAGTATTATTTTAAAAGGAATGCAAGACATATACATTTGACAAGTTTCTTTTACTTTAACCTGAAATATTGCCAAATGAAAATTTTTCAATGGTAGACTAGAATAAGAAGAAAATAAATTAAGTCACAATGACAAAAACAAAAAATTTGAGACCAATAATTTTTGACTATTATTATGACTATTTTGATTTTTTCTTAGCTCACAAGTGCTAAGAATTCTCATACCATTCGAAATATAGATATAAATATACGCGTACATATACAAACACATTGTTTAAAGCAAAAAAAAAAAGAGAAGAAGACGATGACAACACCGAAGAGAAAAATCACCGAAGACCAAAAATAAATTTAGAAACAACACTGTACAAACAAAATTGGATCTATCAGTGAAGAAGATTAGAATAATTAATTAATTAATAGAAGATTCAATGATTATTATGACTAATTTTATCGTTAAACAGATGATGAAGGATATCGAGCCATTGGTGTTTCATCTTGATAATTCATACTCTGTTCATGCATCTATAAATAGAATAGATAAATAGTTTAATTACTTCACAGGAGAGGAGATACGGAATCATTTTCTATCAATTTGAACTTTTGGTAAATAAATTTTAGTAATAGAGATTCTAATTATTCAAACTTCTAGGCTAGTTACTATAAATACATCTCAATTATTCATAATTACTATACTTAATTGGCAGTTTTTGATAATTATATATGAAATAATATTCTTTCTATACGATGGATTATCTATGGAGAAAAGTAGGGACACGATAAGTAGATAATCTACATTTTTCTATGCTTTGAAATTTACCAGATATTGCCAGTAAATATTCTAGAGTTTTTCAAGTATTCTGTTGTTCACTCTAAAAGAAATAGAAATTATATGAAAAACTAGTAATCATCGAAATTTATTTAATAATTCGTCATTTTTATATTTAAAAGAATCTTGATCGAAGTATTTTACTTTCGGATTATATATAAATCAGTAAGGATATGAAAAAATGGATTGTGTAATTGAAATACTATACATACCTTATCAATTTCTGCTAGGAGTGTTATTTTTTGTGTTTCATGTGATTTAGTTAAATTGTCTTTTTCACGTTCATGTTTCATTATTTGTCTTTTACGTTCTTCAAGAAATTTTTTCGTATTATTCGATTTTAATTCTCGTATACGACGATCTAAGTCGGATTTATTTCTTATATTTTTTTCTGAACCAAGACGTTTACTATCTTCAATATTTTGTCGTACTTGACTTAATTCAAGTTCTTTCTTTTCTCTAAATAAATAAAAAAAAGATATTCCATTAATTCAGTTGTCAATATTAGCCAATATATTTTTACCGTATATGTCTTTCAGTTATTTCTTTCATCTGTGTTTTTTGTGTTTCATCAAGTAAAATACGTAATAGATCACATTGTTCTTTTGTATGTACTCGTCGTGAAGTAGTCATTTCTGTTAATTGTCGTTGTATAAGTGATGTCCATTCAACATTTTGGTCATTGATTAAATCCATTAACTAAAAAAAAAATAAAATTTACAACAAAAAATAAAATAAAAAACTCACTTTTGAACTATTATTTCCTTCACTTGACCTATCACCATTACTAAAAATTGCATCAAAAAAGAATAAGAATATAAATTTTGGCAAGTAGATATTACCTTAGATCTTTTCGATGATTTCCAATATACATCATTGGTGATCGTGACATTTTTTCTGAATCATTTTTTGCTTTATTCAATATTTTTGATTGTTGTTCACCGAGTAGATTTTGTTCTTTCGCATGTTTCTTTTTCATTAATATCGACTCTTTATCTTGTTTATGTTGTAATTTTAAAAAACTTTTCTGTTCACGTAAATATTCTAATGTTATAGGAATGATTATTTCACTTGGTGTCTTAGATTTTACTGATAATGATGATGCTGAATTACTTCCATCACTTGTTGTTATTGTATTAATTGAACTACAACTAGCACCTGAATTTGCTATTAATTTTGTATCTGATGATGAAGTTGGTGCTGATGATGTATCAGTAAGCATACGATTTCGTCGTACAGCTGAAGCACTTAAAGTTAATTTTGGATCTAAAGAATTACTTATTAATGAATTTGATGATTCATCAGATTTTTTCGTTAATAATGGTTTATTTAATTGATCAACAAATTCAGTGAAACCATCGGGCACATAAGATTTAAGATTTATTTCACAAAATATAGTTGGTAATGATAATGGAAAATTTCCTTCTGTACGTAATGATATATGTCGATAACCAGCTTGTAAACCATCTAATGGTAAAACACGTTGTCCAATTAATTTACCGGTTTCTTCATAAACAGCTATACGCAATATAGCTAAATCAGGAAGAACAATCTAAAATTATAAAGAATTAATTTATACTGAACAAAAATTTTGTTGTTTCAATTTTTTTTACTTTTCGAAATTCAAAAACACCTTCATCATATCTTGGATTAAGTCCATTAGCTGGAATTATTCTTGTACGATATTCTTTTCTTATTGTATCAGCTGGTAAACCATACATATCAACTTCAACATATGTACCTATTTTTTTATCAGATAAAAATTGACCGGATATAACACGTACACTACAAAATGCAGCTATAACACCATCAACAGGACTTTCAGCATATGGATCAAATGTACGATCAGGTCGACGCATAAAATCTGGTTTTAATAAATAACTAAACAAAACACAAAATTCATCTTCAATTTTTAAATTTATCAGTATCTATCAGATATGTCTATTGCGGTTGAGAGCTTGCCGCTGCCGCGTTAGTATTTTCAAAAATCATTAGATTTTCAAGGCTGTGACCAGTTTAAATTAGAGTGGCTCCTTCCAATCAATAAGATTCGTCAAGCTTTATCATTCTGTATATATTAACATCGAGATTTTGTATAAATTCCGGAGTTTTGAAATTTCTCTTGTAGAAAAGCTGCCACCGCGCCGGTACGGCACCGTCAGCGCCCGCGCTAGCGGGAGTGTACACCCCCTCACTAATTGGAAATTTTTGTTTGTTTTTCAACGACGGGAGCTGATTTACAACAAATTTTGTTCTAAATATCCTTTTACGCTCCCCTCAAAAATTTTTTTTTACATTCTTTCGAAACGGGCTACCCCACCCAATCTTAGACCCTTCGCGCGGGCGCTGAGCACCGTGATGGTTTCTGAAAATATCTGCCACCACCGCCGCAATGGACATCTCTGGTATCTATCGCCATCTTTCTATAAAGAATATATCTTGTCCTTAATAATACAATTTACCATATTTTACAATAAATATTTGAATAACTTTTATTTCTAATTCAATAAATATGTCAATTATATAATAAAATAGATTAATCATTTTCGTTTATTAATTTTTTAAGTATTCTCTCTTCTTTTCTTCTTATAGATTTCATTTTTTATGATAATAAGAATAATTCACTTAGATTAGAATCTATCATTGATGAAAGAAAAAAAGATATCATCGCATGGATGTTGTTGTAAAAAAAAATATCTATATATGTTAGGTCTATTATTATTAGATTTTTGCATATAAATCAATGTTTGCATTCATTTTTATTTATCTTGATTATTATTCTGACAATGATGTAAATAAGAATAAGAAAAACGGAAAGATTCCAATCAATATGTCGGACTTGTACATCGTACTAATATAAAATATTTTTATCTCGTAAACTAATTATTGAAACAATTGAATTTTGTTTTTTTTTCGTAAAGACAAAAAAAAAGATGTTAATATTCTTAATTAAGAATCAGACGTAAAAAACTATTACAAAAAAATTGATCGAGTAATTTTTTATATTGCTTTACACGACATAAAAATAATCAAGTACACTTGGTCGGGTTAACATGCAACATGTACATGTGATTTACTGTCATCTATAATCATTAATTTAATGAACCGATAGAAAATATTATGAGATAATAATCATTTGTTATTATTGTAATAAACATTTAATCGATCGTTTATGTTTATTTCGTAGACAGAAATGTTAGTATTTGCATCATTACATTTATAAGAGAATTATTTTTAATTAACTAAATGATATATTTAAAATAGGAGACGAACTTCATATGACACCATGTTATTTATAACAGCAAAACACAATTTTCTTTTTTTTTGTATAATAAATAAAGAATACTACTCATCGGAATTAATCTATCTTATTTCTTTGCTTACTATTAATAATTCTTCTTCTTTTCTTAACAACAACAACAGTAGACGTTCGTGTTCTTACACAACATAAAAAAAGAAATGCAATCAATGAAAGATTCTAGTAATGCCGCTAGCTGAATGTTTTTTTCTTCTGTCTTTTTTCTTCTTTTCCTTGACAAATAGATTAGACGCATTTTCTTCTATTAATATGCTAACATATAGACAATAACTAGAAGCAAAAAAACAAATACTTTATACGACCTTCGGAAATAAAAAAAAGAAAAGAAATCTCTATCTGACGTGTTTGAAAAAAAAAGAAATTCTAATTAACTCACCCACAATTTCCATTATATTCAAATTTTCCTAAATTCAATTGCATAGGAAGATCAGGTGTCTGAAAATTTAATGAAACCATTTGGCAGCCAGCATTCCAAAATATTTGTGGCATGTAATTTGATGAATCAACACGTCCACCTTTAGGATATATACGTGATAATTGTCGTTTATTATAATTAACAAATTCAATTGAATTTTGTTTTAAATGTTGTAAAGCAACATTTTCAGAAAATGATGACATATGATAATGTATATTACGTTCTTCAGCTTTTGAAAAACCGGGAAATTTAATTGGTTGAGTATAATTAACACGTGATGATAGTAATGGATGAATATTTGTTGTTGCACCTTTATATTGATAACCACTCATAATTGCTTCTTCTTCTTCTCGAGATAAAGCTGATGATGCCTTAAATTTAATACCTAATTGACCAAGTATCGTACGACGATTGACATCATCATTTATATCAACATTTAATTCTGGATGAGCTTCATCATCATCATCACGTAATTTAATATTATCAGCAAAGACAACTGGACCATCTTCACCTTCGACATTAGCTGCTGAATCCATATCATTATCATTATATACTTCAGTATCTAAACCTCTGAGAAATAAATCAAGTTGTTCTATACAAAACAAAAATATATAATTAAAAAAAAGGGAATAATTGATTCTATACTTTTTTCAACTTCAAGTTTTAATCGTTTATTTTTAAGAAGAATTTTTCGTTTTAATAAATTTGGTGATGGTAAAGGTACACCAGGTTCAAGCTAAAAACATTTATTTTTTCTTAATTAATGTAAATAGAATTCATTTATACATACTGGATGCGTATCTAATGGTTTAGTTAATAAATAATCTCCAAGTATTTCTTCACAATATTTTGCTAATTTAAATTGTTGTGATTTAGAACAATGATTTTCAAATGAAAGTATAACAGGATAATCACTTGTTACGAATGCTGTATCTCTTATAGCATGAATAACTTCTTTGAAATTAATATCTGAACACATAGCTTTTCCATGTGTTATTATTGGTTCCGTATCATTTTTTCCATCCCAACAATCTAATTCAATACAACGACAACCTGCTAATAAAACTTGTCTATACATTTCAACGGATGATCGACCACCAAATTGTCGTCCTTGTAAATATGTATTATGCGATGAATTTATTAAATAATGACATAATGGTTGATCCATATCATGATAAACTTCTAGACGATCGAGAAAAACAGGTGCATTTTCATCCGACATTAAATATCGTGTTAAACCATCGCATGATAAATGACCACGATCTCGATAATTAGCACGTAATTCATATCGATCAATAATTCTTAATGCACTTTTCGTATCAAAAAAAGGAAATAAGATTTCATTTAAACGTGGATCACGTTGAGTTTCATTAAGCCAATCAACAAATTGTTTTGTTGTTATATAATCTTTTCCACCCGATAATTGATCAAATAATGCAGCTATATCAGTACGTGGACAGATTTTATGATAAAGATCACAAAATTTTTCAAATGTAAAATCAACTGGATCAATTTCATCATTCTAGATTTGAAAGAGTTATATATATAAAAGGTCAAAAAAATATAATCTTATGTTACTTTTCCACTTGGTAAACCAAGTTCTTTAAGAATTTCAAATATACGTTTTTCAGTTCTACCCGATGCAAATGTTTTACTAATACTAATAACAATAATCATTTATAAATATTCAAAAACAAATCATTTTCTTTTACCTTCGAACAGGAATTTTTTTATTCACATTTAACATAAACGATAATTTCATCCAACTAAAATCAAAAATAAATTTCAATAAAAATATCAATTGATTTATTTACTGTTTTCGTAAGATTGTTGTGGGACATATATTATTCGCTTTGTGATTATGGGTTATTTTTCTTAATCCTTCTATCCATGCCTAGAGAAAAATTCAAATTAATATATTTTTTTCTAAGAAAATATCTTCATACTTTTGCTGTCGTTGGATCGGCACCTGTTATATTCGTATGACTAATTTGTACAAAATCAATTCCACTACAAATAGTAACTGTTCGTTCATCGATATTACCACGACCATAAACTAATGAATTCGACATAAGATCAGCACCGATTTTTGGATCAGTTGGAGCTATAGGAAAGGACGAGATATTATTAATAGAAGAAGCAAAAATCTAAATTACCTTTGCCTGGTCGTATATCACTAACTTGTGATAATTCAATAACTTGTCCATCACGTCCTTCACTTTGCCAATAGATATAAAATCCATAACTATCAACACGAAATAAACAATTTTGTTCTAATGAACCATTTTCTTCATCCCAACGATCAAAATAATCGCCTTTAAGTAGACGAGTTGGTACTTCGATTTGCCAGTCGAAATTATATGCTTTAGACATTAATTAAAATATATTTAAATATGTATATATATATGTATAGGTGTATCATCGGTTAGTTGACGATGATAATGATGGTTGAATGCCATCAATCATTATTATTAATAAATCTAAAAATGAATTTTTTCATATATCAACAAAAGAACTAATCTCTATATTTCACACTATTAATATTCAATGTAGACAATCAACTAGATGTAATACAGAATATAACTGTTGTTGACGCTTCTTGACGTTTCTTCGGTTCGGTTGGTTGCTTCAACTACCATAATTGTATGTCGTTGAGTCGATCAACAAATTGTCAACTGATATATAGTGTCATCTATCATTCTCTATATATATGACAAATGAAAAAAAACTTTTCAAATTAATTTAATCATTAAATTTTAACAAAAAAAACAACATTAGGAAATAAAATTGTTTAAAATCAAATTAACAATTATTGATTGTTTTTGAAAGATAGTAAAAATTTCGTGTAATTTAAGAATGTTATCATTAGAAGAACAAATGAAGACATATATGCTAAAAATAGAAGCCATTTTCGAACTATTATGATTTACTTTACTTTTATAAAACATAAATACAACAATTGTTTTTTACTATAGACTAGATATATGTTTATAATACAAATTATATTAAAGGTTTCAACACATTTGTCTGATCAGAATATTATTATTATTAATTTATATATTCGAGGTCAAAACAATAATGGGCTTCTTTACTAATAAATAACATTGATTAGCCTTAGATTGAAGATTATATTATTAGAATTAATTCTGATATTTAACGTTCATTGAGTCAATTATGATTGATTTAACGTTCGTGACTTGTCAAATAGAAAAGAATATTATAGATGAAGTCGTTTTCTTTCTATAGATTTTTTACGCAATTGATTTTGAAGTTCAAAAGAATGTGTTATGAGTTCTTCATATATAATTTTTTTGTTCAAATTTACTTTTTTTTCTTCCATATGTTAATTGTTTAAGCAAATATAATGTATTAGTGAGAACAAAGTTAAATCAACAAAATGGAATGTTTCATTTCCGTTTGATGACTATTTTGGTATACTCATCGTCTATAGTCTAGCTTACTATTTTTGCATTTCACGTCATTAACATATGAAGAAGTACCTTTCATAACGACCGGAAGACGTTGGAGTACCCATGACTTCTTCAATGATAGCAATTAACAATAAACACGAACAAAAATTAAGAAAAAAGTATAATTAATAGTCGGAGTGTAGAGATTCAGCTAAATTTACAATATACTTTTATTGTGAAAAGATATTTACTCGTCCAAATGTTAATATAGATTAACTGTAAGTGTTCCAATAATTATAGCATTTGTAAAAACAATCGAATAATAATGAGAAACAAATGATTAATATCAACAGAAAAGCAATTACCACAATTCCTGCAAACTAATTGTCACTACTGATGGAAGAAAGTTATCCTGATTTTCAAACTATATCTGTCATGAAATATGATGATCTTTTAGTACCCTGTCAATTACGAACTGTTGAGCAGTAATGATTCTTAATGTCTAATTCAACTATTGATAAAAATTTGTAAATACCTAGTCAATATTGGTCCAAAGAAGTGAACCCAAGTTTTTTCAATCACTGTTTACACTATCAGAGCACTTCGATAGAGTCGACTGAAGTTCACGGAAAGTACAAGTCGCCGAGTAAATACTTTCCGTGAACTTCAGTCGACTCTATCGAAGTGCTCTGATAGTGTGAACGGTGATTAAAAAAACTTGGGTTCACTTCCATCGACTGTCAGTATCATACGTATAGATTGTAGTTTATTTCTCGAAACTCTTTATGATTAAAAGACTACTCAACATATTTTCTTGGGTAATTATCAATACAATCGATCTGATTTATTCATTCTTACAGAGAAGAAAATAGTATAATTGAATTATGAATATGTTTGATTTTCATCTAAGAGATTAATAGATAAAATTCATTGTCTTTCATAACTTTTGTTTCGATATAATATCATATTTAGAAAAGTTTTTAAGCTATGTTTCAAAACTATATTTATTATCAAAAAGTAAACAAAAAAAAAAAGAACTTTTTCTTTATCAATATTACTGTTTAATGATATTAATAATTATTCTAGAAAAATGAAATCTATTACTCTAGTTTAATGATCTTCACAAAAATAGTACTAAAATTTTCACTACTATATAAACTAATACAAACGTATCAAATAAGTAAAAAAAAACGAACAAACGTGATTGTCTTTAAAAATTAAACAATTGCCATGAGACCAGCAATGATAAGAGGTAAAATCATATAACAATAATTCTTATTACCACTATTGGCCACAATTTGAACCGACTCTCGTCCTTCTTGTTCATGTTTTACAGATACCACTATTGGTGCATGGCTAATAATAGTCTGAACTGTACTATCAACTACAGTTTCTGCTTCCGATACATAAATACCACTATCATCGGATACAATATCGAATGTACCATCTTTACTAACACCTTCCGTTTCAAACTGTTTAAATGTACTAGGTTGAGCTTGACATATATAAATGATAATAGCAAAACTGATTAATGAAATCCAATGCATTATTATAAAATATATTGAATTTTGAATTGAATATATAATCGAAGTGTAAAAGATTGAATGAATGAAATTCGACTTGTTACTTCTTTCAAAGGATATGAACAATAGACGACAGGAAAAAAAAGAGGGAGAAACTGATCAATATAGGTGACCTCCACTATTGTTTTTTTTCTTCTTTTCTAGATAAAGAACCATAGTAACAAATAATGTATGTATACACGAAAAGAGAAGAAAAAAAGAATATATAACGAATAGTTCACCAATGTGTAACTTACCAGTTGACAGAACCATTATGAATGAAAGAATAATAATTATGTATGAAGTGTACAGAATAAACGAACGAAGCTCTAACAATTACTTGGTAGTATAGCTATTGAATAGGATAGGCAAATAAATGTGATGGTTAAATAAATAAATGTACAAAATTCTCTCAAAACGATGACAGTTCTTTTTTTTTATAATTATATAATAGTATTTTACTTCAACTATTTAATCTTTTCATTCTTATGAAACAAACTAAAATAGTCAAAGTAAATTTCTACTAAAAATAACAACTTAGTAAATCTTAATTCATACCAGAAAAAAGGTACTGCTAATACTTAACGAAAAAATTGCAAAAAAAAGTGTTAGATAAACTTTACAGATATTTACTATAATGAGTGTTGCACTTCATAAAATAAAAGCCAAAGTTACTATTTTCCCTAGTTACTAAATTTGAATTCATTGCATTAGTGTATTTCTGCTCGATCAATCCATAGAACTACTTTTCCACATGTCTTAATATACACATAAATAGTCGAAAGGTGTTCTTAATAGAATTTATAATTTCGTCACTATCCAATGTGTTAATATTCGTTCATTTTTAAAACTATCTTTGAATCATTGTCTCTTATTATATGATTTTCATTTATCAATAACTGAAAATATATCTGAAATAGAGAATATGATGGATACAGACAAAATGCTTACATCCTTCATGAGAATAATGTATTTTTATTGGATAGAATTCAGAATACAGTCAAGATATAGTTTTATTTAATGTATTTTCAATTGATGTTAATACCATTTGTAAATGACCTTGATAAATATAATGTTTAAAACGATAGTTATGATAATGCATTCATTTCTTTTAGAGTTGTTTGTATCGGATAATGAATGATTGACTGATGGTTATTTGTAATGTAAGCAAAAATCTTTGTTGAATTGAATATCTACCTAGGTCCAATAATCAGATAGAAAGATCTTGTAGGAATCGTATGTCTGATCTGATGGAATCAGACAAGGATCGGACAAAAAATCGTACTTAAAAAATTCTTGAAGGATTCTGTTATGCGGTACGATGTCACCAAAATATTTCATTAAAACTAATATCTTCGTAAAATCTAACTTAAATACAGGCGTGTTAGATCTTTCAAGAAAAATATCGTATGAATTGATACAAGATTTCAGAGACTACGTTTTTTTGTCAGATTCTCGTAAGATTTCGTTCATATTACAAGATCTGATGACAGATTTTTTGACCTGAGTATCTTATAAAGTATTTAATTTGATGCGAACCACAGCATTTCTGTGGTCTTTTTTTATAATACTTTCTTCAGCACATACAAGTTGTTATTTTGTATTTCGATAGTCAAGAGTCAAACAATAATAATTGAAACGTGAGATGAATATATCAAGGTCGAACTGATGCTATTCGCTCATTTACAGGAAGCGTCGCAAAAACACAATTTTGATTATGAACTTTTATTTTTTTTTCACACTTCGAAATAACTGAATCATGAAAATAGAAAGCAAAAGTTTTATAGCTGGAAATACATCTTATGATAGAAAAAAAATGAATTATCAGCATGCTTCCAATATATGTTAGTTTTAACCTTCGATTTCTCGATAATCAACATTGTACATACTAGTTTTTCTCATCAGTCGGATATTCAAGAAGAAAATCTTGTTTTGAGAAGGTCAATCAACTATTTTTCGGGGTTTCGTTTAAAGAGTAAAGGTTTATTAGTTAGTTTGTGTAACTTTTTCAATAACTGTGAAAATACTCAAGATAAATATATATATATATATCAAAATTTATTTGAAAAATATCACATCCAATGACAGCGTATGATATCATTCATTTCAACATATTATTAGCTCACGGATAAGTAAATATTGTCGAAAAATAGAATATATGATGATTACTATCACTGTATATGAAAAGAAAGACTCCCTAAATTTACCAAATGATAATAAAAACTTCACCGCTATTACTTTTCATCCTAATAATATATTAATAATTTGCAATCTGAAGATATGCACACAAAATCACATCATTTTTTTTTCAAATGAAGAACATTGCAGAATCCAAAATTGTTTTCATGGATAATCGTAATGTAATATTTGACATTTTATGTTTTGTAAGTATGTTTAAACAAGAGTCATGGTATTAAATCTAAACTCTTCTCAGTTAACTTGATGTCAGTTAGACCAATTTCATTCAACGATAATATTCACTGTTCAGTTTTATACTGACACCGAAGTCTATCTATTCATAAAAGAAATAAATTAAAACTGATTTTTCTTGAAGAATTATTTGGATGTTTCTAATAATATACAATCTGTAGTATTTTTACTTATAATATTGCTTTTCCAATAAAAGAGAAATACATATTTCTATAAACAATAATTGTATTGGAAAAAAAATTCAATATATCAGACAAATTTATTCAATAACAATTCAAATTATAATTACATTCGTCCATCATAAAAGTAATGATCTTCTTTTTTCCCTCAATTCGCGTCATTTGACACTGTTTCTTCAGGACAAAATCTGCGATCAGATCACAATATAGATTTTGAACAATAGTGAATAAAAAGAGAAAGTCATTTAAACGTTGCTTATTACAACCGAATATATAATATTCATGTCTATTATAAATCGTTTAATATCGTTAAACAATCTTAACAAAAATATTGTGTATGTACAGTTGTTATATCAATTCTGTCGTTTTTTAGTTAACATCATTCTTTTTCATTTTCTTTTCTTCCAACAAGTAATTGCAACATCATCTGAAACACATAACAAAACAAACATCTACTCATTTATTCGTAAGAAAAAATAACAACACATCATACAATTAATACATAAGGCTACACAACACACATTTCAATAACAATCTACAATGGCAAATTCAACTAGCACCAATTTTCTAACGTTACCAGTGGATCTTGTTTACCGTATTCTGGATCATCAATCCGACTTCACGATTGTATGCACAATGAGAAATGTATGTCAACGATTCAATAGAATCGTAGATAGTTACGATCGTTACCAGGTAAACTTTTTTCCATGATAACAGTCTATAATCTTTATCTATTGACTTTCCAATTATTCTTCGTATCTACGATCTCTACTTGAGTACAATGTATTCATTAGAATATACCTGAATAGACTAGTTTATCACATATTAATCTCTTTCAAAAATTCAGTTTCTACCTTATGATAATATGAAAATAAATTTTTTTAATTCCATCTAAATACTCCACGTGTCAAAACATGTATGATGTTATAAACATACAATGTTTAGTTAAGAACGAAAAAAGAGAGAAAACGATGTTATTTGTTTTATATTTGTATCTAAATACTTTTTTCATACCATTTTCAATAATAAAGATGAGACTTTGAACCAAAAATAATGGCTTACGAACGAGCTTATGATATTAAAAATAATATATTTGAAAGTCTCATGAGCAATATCTTCGACAAAACTCTTCTTTCAGTATAGATGAAGATATGCATGTGCACCAAGAGAAGACAGATCTGCAACCACATATGAACACTACCATCAAATCACATCGCTTATATCAGTATTAACAAGGTAGAATATTTCTTCAAAGAATTTGACTGCTAAAACACGTTTATTTCAACAATGATTGCTCTGAAACACTTTTTATCCAAAGAAGACTTCCTGAAGGACTATGTTTCGAGAATAACTCATTACTGACTAGGAACCTTAAGAGTAGTTCACGAGAAATATTTTTTATACGACGTTTTATCACGCATTCGTCTTCCATTCGTGATGAATCTAGCGTTATGGAATAAATCATTTAACCTTTTATTATTTATTAGCCAGTGTTGTTTTATACACGTAATCATGACACGCTATCGTGAGTAACTCTGAACACCAATAAACATTTTTCACTAATACAAATCATATTCATAAATTTAGTCAAGTGTGATAACATACACGAGATTCTAGTACGCTCTAAAATATTACTGAACTGAATTTACTTTTCGGTATCTAATATAATCTCGCACAAATGTTTTCTGCAGAAGGAATTTTCAAACTAAATATAAATTAACCCGAAAAATTTCCATTTTTCACAACCATCTAAGGATTACAGCAATTGCCAGATAAAAGATTGGTCTGCACGCGAAAACTTTACTAGCGCCTTCTTTGTCTAAATATCTACAGTGGAATCTTGAAAACTATGTACCATCTAAACTCATAGAAGTATTCAAACTCATATCTGCAGAGAGCAGGTGTGAATGTGAGTATGCATACTGTATTAAACCACATCCACCTTCAAGACTAGAAAACAATAGAAAAAGAAACATAATTCTTTCTTCGTACATGTTGAAACATTTTCTTTTCTAGAACGTTAGCGTTGAAAATCACCTTATGGAAGGTGTCGAACGCCTCACTGTATTGTGTTTTTTCTGGAAACAAAATGATTCATGAACTTATTTGTTCTGTTATATCATTATTCCTTTATATTTTATCAAGCAATTTTAATATTTTAAACCTTTCCATTTAGGTACTCACTACACTAAAACTCGCATTTCACCAAATTGGACATGTTGGGGCACAACATTTGAGCAATGGATTACGACACAATACAGTAAATCTCAATACCTCTTTATCTATGTCATATCTTTACCTACACTTTTTCATCTAGACACTCACCATTCTAAAGCTTGAAGCTAATCGAATTGGAGATGTTGGAGCACAAAATTTGGCTAATGGATTACGGCACAACACAGTAATTACCATCTTGTTTTTATCTATACCGTGTCTTTACCTAGAACTTTTCATCTAGGCACTCACTACACTAGAGCTCGCAACTAATGAAATCGGAGATGATGGAATACAACATTTGTCTGATGCATTGCAACACAACACAGTAATTCTCATTATCTCTTTATCTGTACCATGTCTTTCCTTAAAACGTTTCATCTAGACACTCACCATACTAAAACTCGAAGCTAATCGAATCGGGGATGTTGGAGCACAACATTTGGCTAATGGATTACGACACAACACAGTAAGTACCATCCTGTTTTTAACTATACAATGTCTTTACCTAGAACTTTTCATCTAGGCACTCACTACACTAAACCTCCAATGCAATCAAATTGGATATGTTGGAGCACAACATTTGGCTGATGGATTACGACATAACACAGTAATTGTCATTATCTCTTTATCTATACTATGTCCCTGTCTGTACGTTTGCATCTAGACACTCACCACACTAGACCTCGGAGAGAATCGAATCGGGGATGTTGGAACACAACATTTGGCTGATGCATTACATCATAACACAGTAATTGTCATCCTCTATTTACCTATACTATGACCTTGGCTCTACTTTTTCATCTAGGCACTCATCACACTAACGCTCGCAGGTAATAATATCGATTACTTTGGAGCACAGTATTTGGCTGATGGATTACGGCACAACACAGTAATTACCATCTTGTTTTTATCTATACCGTGTCTTTACCTAGAACTTTTCATCTAGACACTCACCATACTAGACCTCAGAGCTAATAAAATCGGAGATGTTGGAACACAACACTTGGCTGATGCATTACAGCGTAACACAGTAATTCTCATTCTCTCTTTATCTATATCATGTCTTTACCTAGAACTTTTCATCTAGACACTAACAACACTAAACCTCGAATTTAATCGAATTGGATATGTTGGAGCACAACATTTGGCTGATGGATTACGACATAACACAGTAATCCTGATTCTCTCTTTATCTATAGCATGTGTTCACCTCCATGTTTTCGTCTAGATACTTACCGCACTAAATCTCCACTACAATAAAATCAGAGATGTTGGAGCACAACATTTAGCTAATGAATTACGACATAATACAGTAATTCTCACTATCTCATTATTTATACTTTGTACTTGTCTCCGCTTTTCCATCTAGATACTCACCACAATAAATCTTTCGCGCAATCAAATTGGATATGTTGGAGCACAACATTTGGCTGATTGGTTACGACACAATACAGTAGTTCTTATGAGCTCTTTATCTATACCATGTCTTTACCTTCACTTTTTCATGTAGGCACTCACCACACTAGAGCTCAGAGGGAATCGAATCGGAGATGTAGGAGCACAACATTTGGCTAATGTATTACAACATAACAAAGTAATTCTCAATCTCTCTTTTTAACTATACAATGTTTTTACCTGCACTCTTTCATCTAGACACTTATCACACTAAATCTCGACGAGAATGGTATCGGACATGCTGGAGCAGAATATTTGGCTGATGCATTACGACACAATACAGTAATTCTTTTTTCTCTTTATCTATACCATATCGTTACATGTACTTTTTCAACAAGACACTCATCATACTAAATCTCGAGTACAATCCAATCAGAGTTGAAGCGACACGTAAAATCCAGGAATTTATTGAACGGAATAGAAGTGGGAGTAAATCATAAATGCTAATATTAAATGTACACCGATGGCGAACACATCGTGACGATGATACGTGTATTTTTCTTATGTTGTAGTTGTCACAAAAAAGTAAATAAAGCTGTTTGTTTTTCAACTTAATGTGTATTATGATGACGATTTCCGTGTAGCCTTCTTGTTTTGTTATGAGAAGGATGGTTCTGTTCGAAGAATACAATGGATTTTTCACAGAACTATTTTATAAATGCGTGTAAAACTGGACTGAGCATCTGTATTTTATTAGTAAATTGGAAAAATTAATTTCAGTGATGCTGAATCGGAAATGGTATTATATTGTATGGTAGCAGCGAAACTTTGTAAGAACCTTCCCTGTGACGTTGAACGATACAAAATTTTCCTTTGATAATAGGAAAACTGTGAAAATTTGTTTACAGTAATGCGGAAGCAAAAGATGCTGCTCAATGATACTGAGCGAGTAGAATTTTTGAGAACGGGTGTGGATGTGGGTGCTAGGTGGATTCAATATCCATACATAGCCTTACCTACGTCTACGTTCATACCGACACTCATATCCACACTCATCCTTAAAAATTGATAAGCTCTGCAAAAAAATTTCACCAATGTAGGAAGTAGATCCGAATAGTTCTGAATATCCGCGTTCTTTCCTTCTTCGATACGTTAGTAGTAGAGTTTGTTAGGTCTACTTTTCATTTTCTAAATCGTTTAGACACCATTACGAACGCGATATGATAGATATCTATGTTACTAGAAAATTGAGATTCATGTTTTCAGAACTACAGACATTTCTTCCACTGTATGTTTCAATTTCAATCTTATGGATAACTTAACTATGAACAGCTGCTAATCACACGTTTCTTATAAGCCTATGTGAGAACGTAACGAATTCTTTTTGTTAAGCACAGAATGACGTAATGCGGTTGTTCCGAAAGAACTTTATCCAATCTATATGGAAAGAAAGCATAGATACATTCAATACTTTAAGAAAAATAATCATATACCTAATAAATTAGCACTGCATTTTTGTATATGAGGTTAGACTTCTATACTATCTAGTTCGATGAGATTTGCTCTTGATATATCATTTTATAATGAAAGATTTTGAATGAATTAAGAATTGCAAATATCAATCATATACGTTAGTTCTTACTGAAATAAAACGTATTATAATATTAGTCTAGAAGTTCGATTGGTGCAAAAGACAGTAATATTAATGAATATATATGTAATATACTATCGTTAAATAAACTCATAGATTTAAATAAATATTATATTTTTGTTTGCATTCGCTTTGTTTGTCTTCATAATCTTCTAATTTCAAATAGAAATAAAATCATTAATCACAAGCTTCGATGAAAACTTATCTATGAATTGATAAATATAGAATCTTGTCTATACTCAATGACCTGCATAAAAAGAACTTCATTATTGTGTTATAGAAGTTGTCATAAATAGATCGTCATGTTTATGTAATTATAATGTAAAAGGTCAACAAAAATTATTCGAATATGTTTGTTATGGCATGATATATCTCTTGCCATAAAGAATGCTGATTCTCTTTCATTTCCTCACGTAATACTGATATCGTTGAGTATTTAAGAAGTGAATATTGTAAAGAAAAGGAGCGATAACAATTTTAATATCTCCTTCTTTAATCTATGCAATTGAATTCATTTTCAGAAAGGAATTTGCCCTAAGAATTTTCTTTGATATAAATTCTCTAGGATAACAAAATATTCTGAAATATCGAAATTTGCTTTCTATGAAACAAACAATTCAAATCATTTTTTACATGCATTTGTCTATTCAATCATGTTATCTTCTTTCTTATCAGTATTGATTTTTCTTCTATACACATCGTAATTCATTTTTTATAAATCAAAACAAAATATTTGCTGATATTCTTTCGTACATATATATAGATCTTCTATTTTTTTCAATAACAGAACAATACACAACACGTATACGATAATCAACAAAACACAACAGTAAAGCATGCACTGTAGCTGAGCTAACTATAATAATGAAAACTGAAATAGGAAAACAAAATTTTTTCAGACACGAACAAAACACAAAAAAAAGCAGAAAAAAAACTAACCATAAGCTATCATCAATTCAAGCTTATGAAATGACATATGATATAAGTTCATCTTTATTTAACTGATTACAGTAAATGAATGTCCCTAGAATAATACATATATATATAAATGTATAAAACTTAAATTAAATATATATTTACCATCCAATGAGCAACAAGCATAGCACCAAGAAAACTCAAAAATTGAGCAATAGCCATAAGAGTAAATGAATATCCAGTGGCAAATTTGAGGCCAATGGCTGCATAAAGTGATGCAGCAATGAGAACACCACTTGAAAAAAGTAATACAACTGATATAATACCACAAAGACGAGCCATATTGTTGCTTGCATCTGATTTATTTCTTGCTAAACCACTGAAAACAGCTAAAATAGCTGCAATAACCATAGCAATCAAAGCCTTTGATATTAAATTGAAAATAGAATTTTATTTTAAAATTAATTTTTGTATTCTTACTGTAACAGCCATAGCAGCTGCTTTTCCACCTTCAGATCGAAAACAGCCATTGGCAGCACAATTTTGCCAAAGACCTAATCGTTAAAGAAAAATTTCCTTAGGTTAAATATTAAAATTTAATTTAGGTAGTCAACCTGAATGTACAACACCAGCTGAAAACCAATAGGTAGTTGAGACACCGATAATTGCTAATACAACTGCAGCAACAGCAACAAATGCACCAATAAAAGGAAAAACTCGAAGAGCAGTCATTATTATTTCAAGTGATGTATTAGATGGTAATGAGAAGAAGAATAAGTGAATCTAAAATATGAAATGACCGGTACGTTGAATGATAATATATGAAAAATGATTCCATCATTTTCTCTTCTTCATATAAGATAGAGGGAGAGAGGGAGAGAAGAGAGAGAGAAAAAAAGAAAAAAGGAATGGTCCGATCTGGACCAACTTATTTAAAATGTGCAACGAAAGAAGCATCACTTACGTATATGCAATTGCGTACAAGAGAAAAAAAATACATTCGCTGTTTCTCTTTTCCTCTCTCTCTCGCGTTATAAAGATACAAAATAGCACCATATGTAGATAGATACTAAGACATTCTCTATCGAAATGGGTGCAACAAGTATAAAGAATGCGAATATGTATCTATATGCATTGTATCAGAAGCAGAATACATGTCTGTACATTCTTGCTCTCTCTCTCTCTCTCCGTTAACATTAGTATCTTAGACGTGACAAGATATGAATAGAATAATTTAATAGTATGCCTTATAAAAAAAAGAAAGGAAGAATATGTGGTATTTAGGAATGTTGAATATGTATTTTTCGTTCAAAGTTGTTCATTGAAATAAGAAATCGTATTAAGTTTAAACAAAAGCATATGTGATTAAATGATGTGAATACATATGTTTGCAATGTGAGGAAAAAAGAATACTAGGTAACTTATCTTTTCATATTGATTTTCGATTCTGTATGTGTTTTTTTCTTTGTGCGTAGTACCAATTGAATTGTAATATTACGATGAAAAGTGAAATTCTATATATATATAATCGATGTACTATTTCTTTCTCTATCGTACGATCGTTTTTATCTTCGTTTTTAATTTACGAACATTTATTGAATTATTAATATGTTCGATATACTTACATGATAATAAAATTTTGATGAATGACTAAAAAAACCTGTCATCAGTTATGAAAAAAATTTAATCGATAGAAACGTCTCAAACAATGAAAAAAATTTCTTAATAACAAATAGATATATCAGTGTAGGTTATAGATCGATGAGTGGTCATTAGTATATCTTTTAAAATGAAAATTATTGTACCATGTAATTGCTATTGGAGATAAACGATATAAAAGCGGCTACCTCTTCATTGCGGACACTTTTTCGAGTCAATTAGTGCAATCAAGAATCGGGGGTAGAGAGACAAAAATGACCGCAAAGTGGAAACGAGGGGAGGAGAGAAAAAAATGTCCGCATTATGCAATGACGAGAATATTTATTATGCGAGTTAATAAACAGCTTTTTAATAATTAAATCTTCATGTGTCTTGACTGTAGCATTACGTATTTTATGTGTACAAATCCAAAGTTCGGATCCATTCTTATTTGTTCGTTTATACCCAAAATGATAATCTTTGAAATTTATTCCATCGTTGCCAGATTGTGTAGTTATTATAGAAAAGCTATTATCATTTACAATCGACATTTTCTTATAATTTATCGTATTTTATTTCGTTCGCTTTAAATAGTTTAGGTCATAGTACATATTAAACACGACATCGATGGCACGATTTAGTCAACGCTGTCTAACCCGAAAGACATAATATCCATTCTGCATTGGAATTAACTCGACTAATCATATTGTTTTGTCTATTTTTGATTGTTTCCACTTTGCGGATATTTTTTAACGTGCGGTCATTTTTGTCTCTCTATCTCCGATTCTTGATTGCGGACACTTTTTTCCATCAATTAAGAAAAAATGTCCGCAATCAAGAAGACACGACAAAAGCTGGCTAGATAAATATATTTTACATTGAAGCCAATGCATGACCATGATAAAAAAGAGACAGTTTAGAACTGATTGATTTTATGCACAATCTATTTGCCTAATTCAATTACTTGAACATAATATATTATTCTTTTATCATCAACAAAATTTCATCGATCAGAGTCGAAAGTGAGATATGTAAGCACAGTTGAATGTAAATTTATTTAATACATTCATACAAATAACAAAAACAGAAAAACAATTTATTCTTCGTAATCATTTGATGCTTCATCCATATGATCTTCTTCATCTTGTTGTGAAGAATTTTTTTGTGTGTTTTTTTTTGTTTCTTCTTTTCGTTTGACATTTGCTTCTTGTTCACGTTTACGTTGTTCTTTAAGTCGTTTTTTATCTGATGTACGTTTACGTAATTCAGCTATTTCTTCAGGTGTTTTAGAAATATGTGTATGATAAAGAACTTCACCATCACATAATCCATCTTCAATTTTAACTAATTCAAGTGTCATTCGTGGTCCAATTTCTGTTAAACGTATAGCACTTTGATTTGATTTTAAATTTCCACGACTACGTAATTGTTGAGAAAGTATAACTTCATTTTCATCGGGATTACCAGTACTTTCATCTTCACTTTCTGAAGCATTACCTTCTCTAGAAAAAATTAAAGGATCAATTAATTCAAAATTCGTTTATTTAAAAAAAAATTAATAAATACCTATACATAAAATCACTAATATCATTAAATCGTGATAGATCAGGTACTTTGCCTTGTAATAACTTTTTTGCTGCTCGACTTATACCACTTGGTGCAATTTTGATATTACTAAAATCATATATCATTATATATATATATCAAATTTATGAATAACTTACTAATGTCGAAATTCAATAAATCCATTAACAGGATCAAGTGAAAGTAATACACATCGTTTAATTGTACTTAGATCAACCTAAGAATTATTTTTGTATAAAAATAAACAAAAAAAAACAATAAACTTACATTTGTAACATTAATAGATGGAAACATGTTTTGAAACATTGTTGCTATAAGTTTAATTTGTATTGAATCATCTTGAAAACCATTCATAACAAGTAATGGTGCATGTTCAAATTGTTTCGGAAATGTTTGAGGACGTTTTAATTGTGAAACAATATCACGACTATGTGTAAAACGACGAATACGAAAATTTAATGTAGGACCACGTGGAATACGTATTAAACGCATATAAGTTGACAATTGAGTTTTGGAAAATGTCATCAAATGTGTGACATGAAAATGACCTGAGATAGCAATAAAATCTTTCAATCCATTCTTACGACTAACCTATAAATTAATAGAAAGAAAAGGAAAATAAATATCGATTAAACTATTTATTAGCCGAGTAATGATCATAATAAGTTGAATAAGGATTTCAATGAAAGTACCAAGAATGTATTATATATCTAAGTCCTTCCGAGTTTCGAATAATGAATGATCTAATACTACTGTTAACATTAGGGATGTGGAGTATCAGTGAAAATACTGAAAAACGGACACTGAAAATATCAGTATCGATGCTCACCGTGTCGCCGAAAGATCGGTGTCAGTGTCGGGATCACCGCTAACTAAAATATTTTTGTGCTAAATCTTAGTATTTACAGCGATATCTTCAGTATTCACCGAAAGCTGACACGGCGACCACTGACAGTGATGCCTTCAGTGTTCAGTGAATATCGTTGTCAATGGAAGTTGGTGCTCAGTAAACCGACACTGCACATCCCTAAGTTAACATTTCTCTTCTTTCATACATTGATGTTTATTTTGCTTAATAGAAAAATCTCGTATAGCGTATAGTATCTTCTTTTATTATTATTATTAAATAAAAAATAAACTCACTTTAAGATTCGGTGCAGTAAATGGTTCCATTACTCGACGCATATCTCTAATAAGTTCTTTTACATTATTTCCAACTGTATAATAACAAAAAAAATTCTTATTAAATTTTTATACAATAATTTATTCTACTTACCAGTTGTACCACGTTTGAAAACCAGTACGTGTGGTGCTCGTTTAACTTCTTCATTTTCGAAATTTGGTGGTAGTTTTCGACGAGCATTACGAGCTGCTCGACCCTTTAAATAGATATTACTTTAATAAAGTCTTCTTCTTTTGTTTTTCAATAACTTACTCGTTGTTTTTTACCCATATTATTCTTGAGAAAAAATTAATCTAAATATGAAACCATTTTTTTGTTTTTTTCTTTATTTATACAAACTGATGTTTTTCTGTTTAATTCTTGTTTTAGACAAAAAAAACGCTCACATACACGAACATGTTTCTGAAAACCTAGGTCAATCACTTAACAAATGTGTTAAACCTTAGGTTTAGTTGTTTCTGATTTATGTCAACGAAGAAAAAAAAAGAAAGAAAGAAAGAGAGAAAAAGCGGGAAAGAAAAGAAAACACGGAGAGCCAAAAGTAATGGCTGTTTTTAGGAAAAAAGAAAAGAAATTTTTATCAACAACAACAACA